AACCCTAAACCCTAAACCCTAACCCCATTGCCCCTGGAAGCCCCAAGGTTAGAGTTTCAGGGTTTTCGGTCCGAGGGCTTAAACCCTAGGCCCACGAGGCTTTAAGGCCTAGGGCTTAGGGTTTAGGGTTTAGGGTTTAGGGTTTAGGGTTAGGAGGACGCCTTGCTGCCTCACAGGTATGAGGACGAGCACCACTCGTCCATCATCAATACGCGCCAGTACCGTGGACCGGAGGCAGCCCTAAACCCCCCCCCCCCCCCAATTGCTAAAGGGTTTAGGGTTTAGGGTTCAGGGTTTAGGGTTTAGGGTTTAACTCCTAGGGTACGGTGGGGACACATGAATGAGCACTCCAACAAGGGGGGGTCTGGGGTTTGGGGTCTATGGTCGCGAGGTCTGTAGTCCAAAGAGACCTCAAAGTCTTTGCGTTTTGGGTTTTGGGTTTAAGTTTTAGGGGTTTAGGGTTTAGGGTTTAGGGTTTAGGGTTTAGGGTTTAGGGTTTAGGGTTTAGGGTTTAGGGTTTAGGGTTTAGGGTTTAGGGTTTAGGGTTTAGGGACGTACCCCCCCCGAAAAACAGTCCCTTGCTAGTCCCTTACAATGGTCTCTTCCCCTGCCCCACGAAATCCTGAATCTGTACCAGCCCAAACCCAAGTTGATCCCAAAAGCACTGCAACCCCTGAACCCTAAACCCTAAACCCTAAACCCTACAGCCCCTAAAGGTCCTACAGCCCCTACAGTCCCCAGAGTCCCTGAAACCCCAACAGCCCTAAACCCCCAAACCCTAAACCCCTAAACCTCCCCTAATCCCCCCCTAAAACCCCCCCTAAACCCCCCCTAAACCACCCCAAGACCCCTAAACCCCTAAACCCCCCAGACCCCTAAACCCCTAGACCCCTAACCCTACAGGTGATCCTGTCCCTGGGCTGGAACGACCGCTCCGATGTGTGGTCTATGGGGTGGCCTCTGCCCGTGGGAACGGGGGGGGGGGGGGGGGGGGGGGTGTGTGGGGTTTGGGGTTTAGGGTTTGGGGTTTAGGGTTTAGGGTTTGGGTGGGTAGGGTTTAGGGTTTAGGGTTTAGGGTTTAGGGTTTAGGGTTTAGGGTTTAGGGTTTAGGGTTTAGGGTTTAGGGTTTAGGGTTTAGGGTTTAGGGTTTAGGGTTTAGGGTTTAGGGTTCAGGGGATTGGGTTCGAATGTGCAGCGTTTAAAGCATTGCTGGGCTCAGGGTGCCCGAAGCCCTACAAACATGGAACCTCACGGTGGGTGATGGAGTGTGAGACTGGGTTTGGCGTGCGTGGGATACCCTCAACCCTAAGCCCTGATCCCAAAACCCTACTCGGAGGTTCATAGTACTTACTAACCCTAACCCAATTCTATCCATATTAAGGTAATTAAGGGGTTTTTAAGTGGAATATAAGTACAGCTAGTTATAATTGGTTCTTAAGCATTCCACGAACCTCTAAGCAGGAGCCAGGATGCCATTCTGTGCCCTGAAGCTTCACTACTGTTCAGTAGTATGCTTAGCAGATTCGGGGTTGTTTTGGGGGGGTGGTTCCATTCCCAGAGCTAACCCAAGCAAGTGTAGAGCTTTTTTGAGCAACCTAGGTCACGAACAGGCGTCGTTGGGGTTCAAGAGCTGGAGGGTTGAAGACGAGGGCTATTGTGTTCGGGGCGCTTCGTGTTTACGTGCTGCATTGGTGCTTTCGAGGTTCTCCCTTAAACACAGCGGGAACCCTAAACCCTAAACCCCAAACCCTAAACCCTAAAAAGGTAGCCGCAGTCCCCTTTGGCCGGCACATGTCGTGTAAGTAGACCAGTGGCATGGTCGGTGGGGACGGTGCTCGCCACCATCGCGGGTGCGGAATGCCGACCGTGGCTTGAAGCCAATGGTGGCAACTAAATGGCAGTTGTAAGCCTAAACCCTAAGCCCTAAACGCTAAACCCTAAACCCTATACCCTATACCCTAAACCCTAAACCCTAAACCCTGTCCGCAGCCCTCGAACCCCAAACTTCTGTTGCAATGTCCTTCAGGGCTAAACCCCCCGTCGTCCCCTACAGCCATCTCAAAACGAGTTGTGTCCCAGCCCTGTCCGTGAGGTCGCCTGCGCGGTGCTTAGACTACTCCTTGACCCTGCAAGTTCAGGGTGCAGGGTTGAGGTAGGCTTTAGTTAGGGTTTGGGGTTTTGGGGTTTGGGGTTCCTACCCTAAACCCTAAACCCTAAACCCTAAACCCTAAACCCTAAACCTTAAACCCTAGGGGAGAAGAGGGAGCCTTATGAAGAGATGGGAGTCGCAATGCAGGGCATAGGTTGGGGCATATGGCTCGTATAGGGTGCCTGGTAGATTCACGTAAGGCTCCTGCTAAGGGCTCCCTCGTTGTATCCTGAGGGTTTAGGGTTTCGAGTTTAAGGTTTAGAATGGGAGGATTCAAAACAGCAGGATCCCAGTCCCAATTCAAGGGTTCCCAGAAATACCCAATAGTCGTCGTATCTTCGAGCTTTGGGGGTTCTCCCTTCCGGTTCCTGCTAGAGGTCCGTAGTAGGGATCCTTACACCCGAAACCCGAAACCCTAAGCCTCAACCCTAAATCCTAGACCCCAAATCCCAAACCCCAAACCTCAAACCCCAAACCCCAAACCCTAAACCCTAAACCCTACACCCGAAACCCTAAGCCCTAAACCCCAAACCCCACCCACAGCGTGGCCTCAGCCTCGGCAAGCCTGCGACCTAAGGATCTGATCCCTTAACGCCTTTCTGCCGAGGGCCACGAGGCTTTACTTCCTTAGCGGAGAGTTTAGGGTTTAGGGTTTAGAGTTTAGGGTTTAGGGTTAGGGTTTTTGTGGTTTAGGGTTTAGGGTTTAGGGTTTAGGGTTTAGGGTTTAGGGCTGATGTTTCTTCTGGTAGGGGGTGTCCTAACCTTTCTGAATTTCTTTGTCTGTTCATTCCCGGATTGTTTCGAGAAATAGATTTGCGGCCAAACTCCTCGCAATGGGTCTCCCCGAAGGGTAAACCCTAAACCCTAAACCCTAAACCCTAAACCCTAAACCCTAAACCCTATTGTGCAGTTGAGGACCTCATGCACGTAGCAGATGTAGCGAAGACTCTGCTCGAGCACATCGACGAGAGATCATGAGACTTGCTGCCAATGGTAGGGAAGGCCCTGCCCGGAAAAGGTATAGGGTGTGGGTTTAGGGTTTAGGGTTCCACCTTCAAAACTCTGAACCCTAAACCCTGAACCCGAAGTCCTACACTCCAAACCCGAAACTCTAAACCCTGAACACAAAACCCGAAACATACAGCTGCCACCTAAAGATCAGAACATGGGCTGCTGTAGTAGTTCGACCCCTGCTGTAGAGCCTGGGAGGGGGAATGGGTTTGACTTTCTCCTCCTACTTGGAGGTTCGTGGTGCTTAATAACCAGTTATAACTGTTCTTTTATACCACCTATAAGCCCCTTAGCTACCCCAATATGGTTATAGTTGGTTTAAAATTGCCAGCACTATTTTGGTTAGTAAGTATCATGAACCTCTAAGTGTGGCTGGGTAGTCAGCAGGGGCATTCCGTCTAGAAAACCCTGGCCGATTGAAAAGATCCAGAGGGCGGAGTGGAGGGGTGTTGGAGGGATCTAACCCTAAACCCTAAACCCTGAACCCTGAACCCTAAACCCTAAACCCTATCTGCTTTAGGTCGCAAGCAGCTTTGGTTCGGGGTGTTTGCAGCACTGGGTTCGAGGTGTTTCGACAAGACCCAGCCCAAGCATGAGTGAAAAGACACTCCCGCAACCATCGTCGACGCAGCTCGGAGGTTTTGGGTTGACTAGGACCCCAATGTGTAGTTCCTTTTTTGAGGGATACCTACATCTTTGGTGAGTATGTATGAAGAACACCGAGCCAGAAAGGAACTACAACTAGGGGTCTGTGTGGGGTTCAAGCTTTAGGTTTGTTGCTTGCAGCTTGTTCACAGGGCCTGCTATTCAGTGTCGATCTCGTTTCTTGTGGCTGACCAGGCGTAGAGTCATTTTGCCCAGGCGCAGCCTTACTCAAGTCGGGGCCAGTCTCCAGATTGGCTGCCAATCCGAAGTCCGATTAACGAATCTATGCCTTCGATGATGTGGGGCAATGTGGGGGTTGCTGCGCCTCCTTTGCAACCATCGTGACTTCTCGCTGTTGCGTTTCGTGAGTGAGCTGTGCAACCAGGTCAGCCATAGAGGTCCTTGGGTGTAGGAATCTGGGTAGAGCCTTCCCTAAACTCGAAGCCAGAAAGCTTAAACCCTAAACCCTCATCTTAAGAGCCCCGAAGACCCGCAAAACCTCGCTCACGTACTGTCAGCAGCACAAGGGCCCTTAAACCCTAAACCCGAAACCCTAAACCCTGCTTGGCAGGTGGGAGTGAAACAACAATCGGCTTCAGGGGTGACGACATACTCTGACCATGGAGGGGTTTCCTTAACATTCTTTAGTGTTTCTGAGTAGGGAATGAGGGAAGCAGGTACTTACATCCCCCCTACATCTACATGTATATATATATATAATATGTTATGATCTGTATATATATACATATATATATATACATATACATATATATATATAGATATACATTACACATTTTGGGTGCTTCATTCCCTCATTCCGTACTAAGAGTGACACTAAAGGATGGGTTTAGGGTTTGGGGTTGAAAGGCCTTGGCTTGAGACGTGGCACGCAGAGTATGCGAGCAAGACTGTGGAGAGAGCAGACTGCAAGAACAACCCGAAACCCTGAGCCCTAAACCCTAAACACTAAACCCTAAACCCCAAGCCCTACACTCTAAAGAGGAGAGAGAGAGAGAGAGAGAGAGAGAGAGACAGCGAGAGCACGGAGAGGTCTATGCCTGAAGACCAGAAGACACCCCAAGAGGCACCCCAAGCCAATCTGAGCCTAACATGAGCGAAGGCGCTACGGACCAGGTGGTGCGCATGTGCAAGTAGCGATGACTTCATGGGGGTCACCTCCCACGGCCTACGTGGATCATGAGAGCCCTACCCGCATAGCTGCACGGCATGCTGCTGAGTCTCGATGCTGGTGCAGGTGCAGATCCTCCTGATAGCGTGCTTCGGAGAGTTCGCACTCTTTTAGTACATCTCTAGCCGACACTGCACAACCGCACATCTTTAGCTGCAGACGAGTCTGTTTAGTAACTGCGGTAAAGCTAGCGCCACAGTGAACCACTTCAGAACACACCGTTAGTTTTTTTGGACTGAAGCTTTTGAGCACTTCTGCCTGGCACACATGCATTGTGGCCTCATGCTTCATCCAAGTGAGGTTGTTTGTTGCACGCTTGAATCTTCGAGACGGAGATGGGATGCTGAGAAGAGTTCCCACATATGGCAAACCCATCCGATGAGCTCACGAACTGCCATTGCCGCTTGCCCTTTGCCCCTGATGAGGTCACAGCTGTCACGTGCTTAGACAGGACCCGGCGACAGTGGATGCTTTCTGTGTTCCTGTGACTTCATCTTCCTGGTTGCAAGGCCTGTTTGTCAGGATACCATCCCCAGTATCTGCTACACCGAGCCGTTGTGAGAATAGCCGTGGTCTTCTCATGAGTGGCAGGTGGCCGGAGATCGTGACTGGAACTTGGTTCTGAGAGCTGAGATGCTGCAGATTGCTTGTGTCCGATGCGTGTCGTTCCTCTAGTAACATGAGCTCGACCTCGACTAGGAGACCGGAAAGTTGAAGGAGGTAGCAGTTTAGGGTTCGGGTTTCGGGTTTAGGGTTCAGGGTTTAGGGTTAGGCCTGAATTTATGTAGGGTTTATAGGGTTTCGGGCTGCGCTTCTACAGATTGATGTTTCAGGCATGCACGCCTACAGATTGATGGCAACGCCCCTGTATATACCGGCGAAGGGCTTAGCGACCTAAGAAAATAGCCATCACTTTTAGATCCGCAGAGGACAGCTCATCAGCTAGCTGGGAGACAGTAGGCTGCAATTTTTTGAAATAAGATGGATAGCTCTAAGCCCAAGCCCATAAACCCTAGCCATGCACGCACCCTCTCCCAAAAAAAGCTTCATCAGCAACACCCTCAAGGCAACAGTTCAACACAGTCAGCTCCCAGGCCCAAACTTTTAGGTTTAAAGTGGGGAATGTCGGGGCAGTAGCCCTAAACCCTAAACCCTAACCCTAAACACTAAACCCTAAACAATAATGGCCCACAAGAACCCCGAACGTGAACATGTTGAACCCCCGAAAGGGTTCAAAGTTCGGGGGTTTCGGGATGTGGGGGTTTAGGGCTTTAGGGTTTAGGGTTTCCCCATACCCCTCTATCATTACCCAAAACCCTAAACCCTAAACACCCCCAAACCACCCACCAGTTGCATCCTCATGGAGCTCTACACCGGTGAGCTGCTCTTTGGCACGCACGACAACCTCGAGCACCTGGCTCTCATGGCCGGGGGGCCGAGAAAGGGTTTGGGTTTTTTCGGGTTTTTCGGGTTTTTCGGTCTAAACCCTAAACCTGAAACCCTAAACCCGAAACCCGAAACCCGAAACCCTAAACCCTAAACCCTAAACCCTGCACCCTTTTCGGGTTTTCAGGGTTGTTTAGGTGTTTTTAGGTTTTTCGGGGTAAGGCCAGTAGCCCTCACAGGGCCTAGTGTGCCCTATCTAGCCCCGGCCCCCCCTAAACCCTAAACCCTAAACCCTAAACCCTAAACCCTAAACCCTAAACCCTAAACCCTAAACCCTAACCCCATGGCAGGAGAGAAGCCTGGGACGGTTCCCCGGCAAGATGCTGGCGGCCTCCCCAACTGCCGCCCGGGAGAAGTGCGCCGGAGTCGTGAATGGGGCTGCCTTCTGAGGTTGAGGGTTTAGGGTTTAGGGCTTAGGGCTTAGGGCTTAGGGTTTAGGGTTTAGGGTTTAGGGTTTAGGGTTTAGGGTTTAGGGTTTAGGGCATTGTCATGGTGGGGTAACCTTTTACAAGTTTAAGGGTCCTTAAAGTCGATAAGGAATGGAATTTAGATGTGTAATACTATCCCAACCATGAACTAGGTTTAGGGTTTAGGCTTTAGGGTTTGGGGTTTAGGGTTTAGGGTTTAGGGTTTAGGGCCAGACCTCACTATATGCAAGTAAGCTCTTTTAGGGTAATTGCGGTTTCGGGCTCAGGCCTCGAGAGTGTTAAGGGGAACCCGTGTTTTTTTGTTGTTGTGGGTGCTTTTTTGCTGTGGGTGCTTTTTTCGGGGGCCGAACGCCCCCCCCCCCCTTCCTCCCCACCCCCCAGGTCATTTGTTTTGCAATTTCCTCCCCAACCCCGTCCCCAACGCCCCCCCTCCTTTAAACTGTGCAAGCGTTTTCAAAGCACTGAATCCTTCCCAAGGCCATCATGCGAGCATTGTGTTTGCAAACGGTGGAGGGAGGGCTGCACCCCGCCCGACCCCCCCCCCCCCTCTTTAAAACCGTGCCAGGTCGCTTCTCAGCATATGAATCCTGTCCAAGCCTATCATGCCAGCATTGGGTTTGCAAATAGGGGGGGGCTGCGCCCCCCCCAACCCCCCCCGCTTCTTAAAGCCATGCCGCTTGCTTCAAAGCAAATGAATCCTTTCCGAACCCATCATGAGAGCATTCCCCCCCGCTTGAAAGGGGGGGGGGGTGGGGCTGCGCTTTTTAGCCGGGCAAACTTGCTTCAATCATACGAATCCCTTCCAAACCCATGATGATGCGAGCATTGTGTTTGCAAATGGGGGGGGCTGCGCCCCCCCCCCAACCCCCCCGCTTTTTTTAGCCGGCAAGCCTGCTTCAAAGCTTACGAATCCCTTCCAAACCCATGATGCGAGCATTGTGTTTTCAAATGCGGCGGTCTGCGCAGCCCCCAACCCCCTGAAGAGGGAATATATGCTTGCTTTCCTACGAAAATTCAGACCTTATGGTGGAAGTTGAATTTTCCGTTTAAAAATAGAGATATAAACGTCTTCTTAGTAAAGAATCGAGAAAATAGAGCTTGTGTTATGAGACATGAACAAAAACACTTGTTGTCTACGAGTCACAAATAGAGATAATGCATGTACTCTTATGACAATATAGAGAATTAGCTTTTCATGTATTCCTCTCTCATGTCTTCCTCGTGAAATAAAGAGAAGAAGTCTGAAAATACTGACAAAATAAGAAACTATAGAACAATAGAGGTTTTCGCTATACAATATAGAGAAATTAGATGCTTCCTACCATAGAAAATACAAAGTGTTTTCATATTAAAATGTAGAGGTCTTGATATTCAAATATAGAGAATAGAGGTTTTCATGTTCAAATGTTAAGACAATGGAGGTTTGCCTATTCAGAGACAGAGAAAATAATGGGCTTCCTATTAAAATAGGACAAGAGGAACAAAAACACTTTTAATTGCAAGTCACATATTGAGATAACACAGAGAATAAGTTTCTCATGTATTCCTCTCTCATGTCTTCCTCATTAAATATAGAGGAAAACTATGACGATATAGACAAAAATAGAGAGAAATAGAGGTTTTAGTTATAAAATAGAGAGAAATAGAGGTTTTCGAATTGAAGTATAGAGAAATTAGAAAAACTAGAGGTTTTCATGCTAAATGTAGAGAAAATAGAGGTTTTCATATTCAAATATAGAGAAGAAAGAGGTTTTCCTATTCAAATATAGAGAAGAAAGAGGTTTTCCTATTGAAAATTAGAGAAAATAGAGGTTTTCATAGTAAAATATAGAGAAAACAGCAAAAACGCTCCGCACCTGCAGCAAAAAAAAAGGCGCCCCCACGGCACCCGCAACAAAAAAAAACGCGCCCCCCGCACCCGCAGCAAAAAAAAAAAACGCGCCCCCCGCACCCGCAGCAAAAAAAAAACGCGCCCCCGCACCCGCAAAAAAAAAAAAAACGCGCCCCCGCACCCACAGCAAAAAAGCACCCGCAACAAAAAAAGAAAAACTCTTACCAGTGTTAGGGTCAAGGGCCTCAGCCTACCACCCTGTAAAACCCCATGCAATACCTTGCTAGTCCCTAAACCCTGAAGCCCCAAACCCTAGGGCTTACGCCCACAACCCTAAACCCTCCCTCATCTTCGAAGCGGAAGATCCAGGGCTTTCGGGTTTAGGGTTTAGGGCAACTTGTGAGCGAGAGGGAGAGGGAGAGAGAGAGGCAGACAGACGCAGACAGACGCAGACAGACACAGACAGAGACAGACAGACAAAGAGAGAGAGGTCGGCTTTCCTGAAAGGAATGTCATGAAAGGTTATTCACGCCGAGGTCCTGAAGCAAAAAATCCATAAACCCGACAACCCAAGCAGGATTGACCGAATCTGAGGGGAGCTGCTACCCTTACACCCGAACACCTTAAATGTCCGCGGGAGCTTTGCGCCCACCGCACTTGTCTGGGGCTTCTTAAGGTTTGGGGTCTCGACATGACTCGTTTGAGAAGATGTTGGGGACGCAAAAGGGGAGGGGGGGGGGGGGCGTTGGTTTAGGGTTAGGGCGGCTTCAATTTGGGGTGTGTCCCTTATACTAGCAGACCTTAGTGGGGAATATAGTACGCCCTGTTCTGATCCCTAGACCCTAAACCCTAAACCCTACTAAGGACTGGCAGTATAAGGGGGAGCATCCCAGGCTTTCAGTCTAAAGGCCTGTGCGCGCGAGGTACCTGGCGAGGGATCGATACGGCGACATGCGGCTAAACTGGCTGGGCCCTCGACGTTCTAAAGCCCATTTGGGGGTTTCCGTTTAGGGTTTAGGGTTTAGGGTTTAAGGTTTAGAAAATTGGGGGGTACCCTTTTGGGAGTTCTCATAAATCAAGGATTATACTATTTGGGGGTATATGGAGGGCACCCCTATTTGGGGAAATGTCCATTTGTAACTCATCACTGTCACCGCCTCGGACCCAGACTAGGCACGTATTCCCCTTTTTCTAGGAGTTTAGGTTGCCTTCTAAGGCGCGTTAACGCAAACAGGGCGCCTGTTTTATTCCTTCCTTGCTGGGTTGCTCTTGGTTCCGGCTTCGCGCTGAATCCTAAAAGACAAAGGAAGCAGTTGATTGTTCTGGGAGCGTCGCGCAAACACCGTAAGGTTCCTTGCTACACTTCAGTCTTGAACCCTAAACCCTTTTAACTTGAAAAACCCTAAACCTCCTAAGCTCTAAACCCTAAGCCCTAAACCCTAAGCTAAACCCTAAACCCTACCCCGCCCCCCCTAATTGTGGTTGGGTAGCGGAGCATCCCATTCTTACATTCTCTTACATCTACTCCCTTGGCCTACATACAAGCTCAGCCACTCGTAGAAACCGAATCCTAAACCCCAAACCTCAATCCGTAGTTAAAGGGTTTAGGGTTTTGGGTTTGGGGGTTATAAGTGTACATTTGTATGTCGTCCAGCAATTCGAGTGCCCCA